TCTCCCAGGCCACAGGCAGGGAGCTGGATGGGAAACAGGGCCGCCAGGACGCAAATTGGTGCCCATGTGGGATCCTGGCATGTACAAGGCAAGAACTTTAGCCTCTAGGCTACCATGCTGGGCCCATAAATCTTCAATTAAAAAAAATAGATTTTTTTTTTAATTGGAAAAGCAAACCTAAAGAGAGAAGGAGAGACAGAGATAGGGAGATTTTCCATCTGAGAGGTCACTCCCCAAATGGTTGCTATGGTTGGAGCTGAACCGGTCTGAAGCCAGGAGGGAGAAGCCGCTTGGGGCCTCCCATGCTGGTGCAGGGCCTCAAGGCTTTGGGCCGTCCTCGAGTGCTTCCCCAGACACACGCAGGAGCTGAGTGGCAAGCGGGGACGCTAGGACCCGAACCAGCACTCATATGGGATGCTGGCATTTGTAACAGAAGCTTGCAATGTTCTGGCCCCAACCTCTCTGCTTCCTTGACTGCAGCCCTTCTGCTCCTAGCCAGGTTGCCTGACACTGCCTGCTGGACCCACAATCGGGAAGGGAGCTGCCAGAACACAGCGTGATGTCACGCCGCGTGGAATCGTGACCACGACGCCAGCCTGTCTCCCCTCGCCATTTCACTTTTTTTAAAAAATAAATAAATAAGTAAATAAATAAATAACTCAGTTGTTCTGCCCCTGGGCTGTGGCAGCAGGCTGCTCTCCCTTGTGGGCCCATTGTAGAGAAGGGCAGACTGAGGCCGGGAGCCGAGGAGTGTCCCACTCACAATTGCATGATGGGACGCACACTCAGATTTGAGGTCTCCAGCTCTGTCCCTTGTGGCCTCTCTCTCTCCTGCCCCAGGCACCTGCCTGTCGCCTGCACCCCTCCTCCTGGGTGGACACCCAGCGCGGTGCCAGCGTGCTGGGCAGAGCTGGGCTTCCTGCACTGTCCCGCCCCCAGTGCCGGGTTCTGCTTGTTCCCTGAACCCTCCATGCTCCACCACACCGAGGAGCCCTAGCCCGGGGCGCTCTCCCCACTGCTCTCTCGTGCTCTCTCTCTTCTCCTTTCCAACAGATTTACTTATTTATCTCATTTAAAAGGTAGAATTACAGAGAGGGAGAGCGAGAGAGACAGAGAGAGAGAGACAGAGAGAGAGGCAGGTTCCTGGTTTCTCTCTCCAAGTCGTTGCAATGACCAGAGTGAAGACAGGAACTCAGGACCCCAGCAGGGAGCAGGGGCCCCAGCACTTAGGCCCAAGTCCGCTGCTTTCTCAGACAGGTTGGCAGGAAACCGGAAGGGAAGTGGAGTAGCCAGGATTCGAACTGGCTCCCAGATGGGATACTAGGCTTTGGCTATTGTGCCACAATGCCAGCTCCAGCCAGCATACATTTATTAGCCGCCTGCTGTGTGCACTGACACCATTGGGATGCTCGGTGTGTGTGTGTGTGTGTGCTGAGGGAAGGGGCACAGTTCACTGCCTTGATTGAACCCGCAAACTAATGCGTGCTGGGAAAACCTGCTAAGCTGCTGGGCCACAGCCTGGCCTGTCACCTCCGAAAGAAGACGCCCACCCTGGACACCCCGGAGCAGAAGTGCCCTCGATGACCACCACACTCACTGACCTGGGTTAAAAACAGGCCCACTTGTCTCTCCCACATTTAAAAACATGCACCTGCCAGAATATGTGTGCTTACGTGGCTCCTGTTTGCATGTCAGCCGGCAGCAGTGGCAAGTCCCTCACTGCCACCCCCCCCTGTGGGGAGCATCCCCCAGGGGCAACCCCATTTGCTAGCCATAGTCCGGTCCCTTTGTCTCATGTGAAGTTAAGGGGGGGTTTCTGGAGTCTCCTCTCCGGGCCATCAGGAGAACCACACATGCTTAGAACAGGGGTTGGAGAAGGTTCCGGAAGGTTTCCGAATTCTCCATCAGATTTCCACCCACCCGCTGCATGGAGTGCACCCTAACACCAACACGGGAGGTGGCCAGGAACTTGGAGCAGAAGGAAGAGGAGGCTGGAACCAAGAGATAAAGAGCCCCACGTAAGTGGCCGCTGTGGCCACCAGGCCACTGGGCCACTGGCACTGCCTGTCAGATGCCCCAGGGTGGAGGTGGGGTGGGGAGGGGTGCACCACAGACAGGATTCGAACTCAGGACGGAGCAGCCCGCCCCACAGTGTGTCTGCCCACCGCATCAGAGTCCTTGCTGCTGAATGCCACGAGCCCCATGCCCGGGCCTTCACACTGAGGGCCACTGGCCGTGCGCTAAGCTGCTCAATGCTGAAAACCCCTCGCCAGGCCACTCCTGCGCTGGCCTCTGGCCTCACCGCCACCGCAGCTATAAAACCACTGGAGCAGCTCGGTCCTCCAGAGGTGGGAGGGGCCACGCTGTGACTGCAGAAGCTGCCAAGGCTGCCACCGTCAGCTGGGAGGCAGGGTCGCAGCTGCGGCCACCCCCCCAGCTCCAAAAGCCGCTGGCTTCAACAGCCCCCTCCCTGACCGGGGTTCCACCCAGGGCATGAGTCAGGGTTCCCGGGGTGCAAATCCTGCCTCCACCCCGATTGGCAGCTCTGTGACCCTGGACAGGTCGCGGAACCTCTCTGAGCCTCCGATCTTAACCGGGATTACAGGGCGTTCACGGGGTTCACCAGCTGATACAGATGGCATTCCGCGGGCACATCCACCTGCCCCGCCGACCTCCCACTGTCTAATCCCTCTGCAACATTCTTACCTCGTTCTGGTTAAGCTAGAGGGAGGACACATCAACCCAATCTAACAAAGCTCTTGATCTAGAACATTCTGAGCCCAGCATCCCGTCAGTAATTCCGGCTCCTCCCCGCCCAGCTACCTCCTCCCCGACTCGACCCTGGTGTCTGTCACCTGTTTGCTTGTGTAACACTCATCTCTGTGATGGAGGCCCGGGCTCTGAAAGCTCCTGGGGGCCAAGGTGGCACTGAGGGAAAAGTTTACGTTGGTGTACAGAATCTTGGCATAAGAAGCCGTTTCCTAGCAAACAGAGGCACATGGGTTTCCAAACGGGTTCTTGCACCAAAATCAACGAGTGAACCTGGGCCAGTGCCCGCATCAGCAATGGTTCAGCTGTGCGGAGTCAGGGCGATCCGCGTGGCCACCCTCGGACTCGGCCATCTGTGGGGAGTTTCCAGGGCTCCCTGGTGGCCAGGCACAGCCTCCCAGCCACTTCCTCCCCACGCCTCACTCCCCGCCCCCCGTCAGCTCACCCTGACTCATCCTGCGGCTCTTAGGGTGGCATTGCTGCCCGCCATTCATTCATTCATTCATTCACCCACACCCACCGCCCTCCTCATGCGGTACCTTCGGCTCAGTCCTGATCCTCATGTAGGTCAGAGTGCCGGCACCACCGGTTAGAGCCAAGGTCAGACCTCAGAGCACGGGAGCCCAGAGTAGGTCCCTGCCCAGGCCTCTGTTGCTGACTGAAAACCCGAACTGGCCCTTGAGGGTTCTCTGGGTCTGGGAGAGAACGTTGGCTAGCTAAGGAAATGGGGCAGAGGCCACTGCAGGTGCGGGGCTGGGAAGCGGGCGGTGGAGGCCCCGGCCACCAGCAAGAGAGGACGTGGTTGCGTGGGGAGCAGAGGTCAGAGGGGAGAGGGCTCGGACCCCAGCTCCACGCCCCACGTCGAGCCAGAGCTGCTCTGTGTGGGTGGCCACACCGTGCTCCCATGTGCAAGTTAGGATTGCTCTAACTTTGAGGTTTTGGGGGGCTGCTGGGATGAGTCCTGGGGAGCCTTGAGGCATGGGAGGCTGGGGGCTGGGAAGAACCGGAGTGGGTTTGGAGCTGAGAAAAGCCCGGGGTGCCTCGGTGCTGGGTTAGCAGCAGCGCGGAGGAAGGAATGCAGGTTGAGGGAAGCCAGCACCTCAGGAGGGGCCCGGAGTCCTGGCGTGCCTGGGAGGAGAGGGCAACAGCAGAGGCTGCGTGAGACCCTGGAGGAAGAGGATGCCGCCAGAGGCAGGGCAGCAGAAGGGGACTCGGCCCGGGGTGTGGGAGTGGGGGAGAAGTGGGGCCGGGACCACACCCGGGCGTGGCGACCAGGCAGGGGCCCCTCTGAAATGGGTGCAGGGGCAACTCGGGGTACCTGAGCCCAGCAGGACAGGGCCTGGGAAGAGGGGACCCCTTCCAGGAGGATGACAGAGCAGGTCTGGGGGATTCCGGAAGCTCCCGCAAGTGTGGGGGAGAGGGAGGGTCCCTGGGCGAGGCCCCTCTCCGCTCAGAGACGCTCACAAGCTAGTCTCGGTCCGTAAGCAAGCAGGTCTCAGCTGCCGCTGCCCCTGACACCCAGGGTTCCAGACTGAGCTCCTGGGAGGGAGCCTGGGACAGGACGGTGGGAGCAGGGAGGGTGGCTGGAGGGGACAGGGCTGGCTGTCCCTCTGCTCCCAGCCGGGGACTTGGCTGTGCGACCCCCATGGCCTGCCCTCCGCTCTGGCCCTTGTCCATCTGTCATGAGCAGGGTCAGGGTGTGAGCATCATGGCTGCTGGAGGTGGCGGAGGCTGGAGCCTGGGGTTCAGATCCGCCTTGAGCTGCCATCGGGTCCCTGTGCTTCTCGGCCTCAGTCTCCCCTCTGGAAAGCGGTGCCATGAATGTCAGCGTGATGCCAGGGCCATTGCCCACCCGCCATACCCGTCTAGCTCAGCTGTGCCCTTGCTCTCCTGGTGGAGAGGGGGACGCACCCCCATTCTTCTGTGGCCTTTCTGGGAAACCATCAGGGTACAACAGACCCCTAGGTTTCCTGAGTGACGACTAAGCACCAGATTAGACCGCTGAGGAACCCCTTTTGACAGATAGGACCACTGAGGCCGGGAGAGTGAGGGAGGCTGACAAATCATTACAGCCCAGCCCCCGTCTCTAGGGGTCTTGCGCCGCAGCCAGCCAGGGCAGCAGCACAGCCCAAGCCGGCCCCAGTCCGGCCAGGCCTGAGGCTGCAGGAGGCCTTGGCCAGCAGCCTGCCTGTCGCCGCCGGCCTCTTCCCCGAGGGGGTCTCACGCCTCACCTGATTTCAGTAAAGTCTTGGCCATAGCTGGCCCACAGGTCCTGGGTCGGGAGGTCGCAGGGCTCGTCCATGGCAGGTGAGCGAGGGCGGGGAGGGGAGGACGAGCAGGGGACAGGTGCGCGTGCTGCAGCAGCGGCGTCTGCCGCCCGCCCGCCGGGAGCCCGCCAGGTGCCTACCTGTGCCCAGCCCATGGGGAGGGGCAGCACCCAGCCGGTTCTCCCAGCTGCTACCCACGCCTCCAACGACGACACGACGGCAGCGGGGAGCCACCCTGCTCCGAGGGCGGGGAGGAGCCGTCATGGGCACATCCCTGGAGTCTCGCAAGCGGCTGGGGGAGGGTCCCAGGGGTCTCGGCAAGCCTGCCCAGGAAAGGCCTGTCCAGGTGCGTGCCCACCCGCAGCTCACGGTGTGCGTAGTCACTCGTTTAGTCATTCATTCCGGAAATATCTCTGGAGCACCGGCTGTCAGCCCTCATGGGCCGGTGCGTCCCGGGGCACCAGTGCAAGGACACCCGCCACAGCAGAGGGACCAGGAGCAGGGGCGTGAGAGGAAAGGCCCGAGACACTGAAGAAGAGGAGAGAGAGGAGAGACGAAGAGAGACAGAGACACAGAGTCAGAGACAGCAAGATGGAGAGGCTCAGGGAAAGTCAGAGACATAGAGAGACAGGTAGAGACTTAGAGCTGGACGCAGCCAGCGAGAGACCTGGATGTCGCCCAAATCATCTACCTCTGTCTGGGGGGGGTCTCGAGCCCAGCCCCAGCACCTGCTGTCTGTGGAACCCTTGCCTGGCCTCGGTCTCCTCCACTGCAAACAGTGGAACTGTGTGAGGCTCCCGGGTGCCTGGAGCGGTGTGTGCATCCATGGGGCTCAGCCAGGTTGGCGCCCGGAGTCTCCCAGCCTGGGCCCCCTCCCACCAGTGTGTCCTCCCATCAGGGACTACGAGGGGTGCATGCAGACCCCGCTTCTGAGCGGGGAAACTCTGGGGTGGACGTGACAGTCCCCCGCCTGCCTCCCCCACTCACTCAGGGACACCTCTGTGAAGTTGTTCCAGAAGTTTCCGCTCACTTCTCTGGAATGTGCCATAGAAATTTTGGTCAGATGAAAAGATCTAAAGATACTGTCGCTCACAGCCATGCTGACTGCCCCAATTATCACTGCTGTGAGGGGTGGGGAGGGGAAAGTGGTGACGTCAGACTGCTTTCCCACAGGCAGAAGGGGCCCAGAGAGGTCCCTAACCGGCCCAGGGGCACACAGCACTGTCCACCCCCTATGCTGAGCTCCGGGGGTGCCCATGCTCTCGGCTCCCAGCATCGCGAGGAGTCCCCCGAGGGGAGTGGGCTCCTGGGCTTGGTGGGTGGAGGGGAAGAGGGGAGCTGACCGAGACCCACCTGGCCCGCCTGCCAAGCCGCCTCTGCTTTCCTGTTGCCTTCAAGCACCCTTTGTTACCGCTGCGCTGTCCCTGCTTTGGGAATCTTGCCTGAGCCCACACACCAGCTCCCCCAGCCCCCACCCGGCACCACGGGCGCCTGGAGTGGAAAGGCACTAGTGCCTGGCAGCAGTTTCTCGAAGGGCACGCTCAGGTCCTTAAAAGGGCCAAACGGGCAGCCCTGGGCCAGGAGGACCCAGAGGGAGATGAATGCAGGGTGCTGAAGGGGCCCAGGGCTTTCCTGGGCAATAGTCAGGAACCAGGCAGGCTAGGAGGCTCTGGGCGCAGCTACCCCTCCTTGAGCACGTGGCTGTTCCCCCAAGTCACCCATAAGCCACACAGCCTCGTTTCCCACGAGTCTACTGCACACGCTCCTCCCAGGGCTCCCACCACGTCTGTTTTCTGTTTCGCAGTCACCCACATCATGCTCAAAATTCTCAAAGTCCTGCTGGACCTGGCGCAGTAGCCTAGTGGCTGGAGTCCTCGCCTTACACACGCTGGGATCCCAAAGGGATCGCTGGTTCTAATCCTGGCAGCGCCACTTCCCTGCTTGTGGCCTGGGAAAGCAGTTGAGGACAGCCTAACACCTTGGGACCCTGCACCTGCATGGGAGACCCAGAAGAGGCTCCTGGCTCCTAGCTTCAGATCAGCTCAGCTCCAGCCGATCTGGCTGCTTGGGATGGGTGAAGCTTCCCAGGGGATGGGTGCTGGGTGCAGCTTCCTGGGTGCTGGGTGCAGCTTCCCGGGGAATGGGGAGTGAGTGACAAGTCCCAGTGAAGTACAGAATGGGAGCTGAGGAGACACCCAGCTGGATGCCAGGCCCAGGGGGTCAGGCTCCTGCAGCAATGGCCAGGAAACCAGGGAGACTAGTGGAACAGCTCAAATTGTGTGGGAGAGAAGGGACATGAATGGAGCTCAGCAGGTCCACAGAAACGGGGAAAGGGACCCATGTGCTGGGACAGGGAAGATCCTCGGGGGGTCAAGGGTGTGGAAAACCCTGTTCATAGGGTGGTGGGAGGTGAGGGATTGCGTGGTTGTTCGTCAGTTCAGCAGCTCTTCACTCTGTCCACGTCACCATCCCTCCATGCATCTGCCCGTCCATCTGTCTATCCCTCCATCCATCCCTCCATCCATCCATCCATCTGCCCGTCCATCCCTCCACCCATCCGTCCATCCACCCATCCCTCCATCCATCCATCCATCTGTCCATCCATCCCTCCATCCATCCCTCCATCCATCCAGTTACTAGCCAGAAAGGAGAGCTAAATGATTCCACACAAGAGTCAGCTCCCACAGGTGGTAACATAGCACCAGAAATGTGGCATATGTGACCAAGAAAGTGACATTTTATAACGATTTCAATTTAGTTAGAACTTAACTTTTTCTTTTTACTTAATTTTCTTTTTATTTTCTTAATTTTCTTTTTATTCCAACTCTTTTTACTTTGATATTATTATAAATATTGGACAAGTTAAATATATTTTTGATTATCTGTGTGTAGGAAATTATTCTTTAATTTTTAAAAAAGATTGATTTATTTTTATTGCAAAGTCAGATATACAGAGAAGAGGAGAAACAGACAGGAAGATTCATCCACTGATTCACTCCTCAAGTGGCGACAATGGCCGGATCTGCACTGATCTGAAGCCAGGAGCCAGGAGCTTCTTCCAGGTCTCCCATGCGGGTGCAGGGTCCCAAGGCTTTGGGCCATCCTCGACTGCTTTCCCAGGCCACAAGCAGGGAGCTGGATGGGAGGCAGGGCTGCCAGGACACAAATTGCTACCCATATGGGATCCCAGCACATGCAAGGCAAGGACTTTAGCCACTAGACTATCGCGTCGGGCCCTATTCTTTCATTTTTAAAAAGATGTACTTATGTACATGGAAGAGTTGCAGAGAGGGAGGGACAGAGTGAGAAATAGTCCCGCTACCTGCTGGTTCAGTCTGCAAAGGCTCCAATGGCAGGGCCAGGCCGGAGCCAGCACAAAGCCAGGAGCCAGGAGCTCCTTCTGCGTCTCCCTCGCAGGTGGGAAGGCTCAGATACTTGGGCCATGTCCCACTGATTGTTTTCTGGATAATTAACATGGAGCTGAACTGAGACTGGAGCAGCCAGGGTGGGACACCAGCGCCGGGATGAGACGCTGGTATTGAGGGCAGTGGCTTTACCTGCGATGCTTTGAAAACCAAACCATATGAAGTACTTTTGCTTTAAACACATCTTAAGGGTTTTTTCCTATCAAACTTGTGGAAATTGAACATTAGAATTAGGACCCAGAGGGCCCGCTGCCATGGCCTACTGGCTAAAGTCCTTGCCTTGAACACGCCAGGATCCCATATGGACACCAGTTCTAATCCCGGCAGCTCCACTTCCCATCCAGCTCCCTGCCTGTGGCCTGGGAAAGCAGTGGAGGACGGCCCAAAGCCTTGGGACCCTGCACCCGTGTGGGAGACCTGGAGGAGCTCCTGGCTTCGGATCAGCGTTGACCATGGTGGCTGCTTAGAGAGTGAACCGGTAGGTGGAAGATCTTTCTCTCTGTCTCTCCTCTTTATAAGAATCTTTAATTATTTATTTTTATTAAAAGGGCAGAGTTATAGACAGAGGGAGAGACAAAAAGAGACGAGAGAGAGATCTTTCTTCCACTGCTTCACTCTGCAAATGGCTGCCACGGCCAGCTGGGCCACAAGGCAGGAACTGTCTGGGTCCGCCGTGTGGGTGCAGGGACCCGGGCCTATCATCTACTGCTTCCCAGACGGATTGGGAAGTTTGTGGAGTAGCCAGGACACCTACCTTCCCTTGGATACGGTATTAATGTTGTAGGCAGCAGCTTAAGCCATTGAGCCACAATTCTGGCCAACCTCTTTTTATGATTTAAAAAAGGGGGTTGGGGAGGAGGGGGCAGTGCCATGGCATGGCAGGGGAAGGCTCCACCAGGTGTGCTGGCATCCCATGTAGGCGCTGGTTCAAATCCTGGATGCTTCACCTCTAATCCAGCTCGCTGCTTGTGGCCTGGGAAAGCAGCAGAGGACGGCACAAGTGCTTGGGACCCCGCACCCGTGTGGGAGACCCAGGTGGAGCTGCTGGAACCAGCGTCAGCTCGGCCCACCTCTGGCTCAGCCATGTGGGGTGTGAACCAGTGGATGGAAGAGCTCTCTGTTAAATCTGCCTTTCAAGTCAATAAAACAAATAAGAATGTATTTATTTTTATCACAAGGTCAGATATACAGAGAGGAAGATCTTCCATCCACTGATCCACTCCCCCAGGTAGCTGCAACAGCTGGAGCTGAGCCAGTCCAAAGCCAAGAGCCAGGCGCTTCTTCCAGGTCTCCCGTGCAGGTGCAGGGTGTGGGAAGCCCTGCAGTTGGGACAGACAGAGCGAGGGTGTGACGTGCACCACTGCTCGGTTGGCAAGGCTATGAGGGGTTTCTGGCTGCGTGGCCAGGCCCTGCAGAATGTCCAGTCACCTCATTGCTGCCTCACCCCATTGACGGATACTCAGTCACCTCTCTGACGTTTCATAGAATTCTCCTGAGGGTGCTTTTCTGTAAATGTGAAGTGATTCCTGTAACTTGTATAACACGTCAACTGATCGATGGTAAGTTATGGTAAAGGGGTCTTGAGCAACGTAAGGCAATGACACACGGCT